CCAGTGAGGATGTTGGCAGTTCATAATCTTTTATCCCACTTGTTCTTTACCTGAGCATTTTGGTTTCCTGAGGCAATGAAACAACTGCTTTTATAAAACTACATGTATATGCAGTAGGGGTCCATACTACATGTTAAATATGAAGAGGACACCTTGTTTGTCCAACAGAAAGATGGTTGAGAGGGTTTTTGTGTGATACTTTGATACTTTTATCTAACACAGTACACGCTTAAGAACCTATACAGTAGATAAACCCTAATACATACGCGTAGAAATCTACCAGGGGAAATCAGGTTTCCCTAATCCCTGACCCCGATTACGGAAACCGGGTTTCCTGTTTGCATGACAGTTAGGAAATCAGGTTACTCAAGAAAGCCGATTGTAACCCGGTTACTGAAGCACATGTAAACTTTTGCTTTGCAGAAGTACTGGCACTGAACGAATCACACACTGAAGTCATTCTCTTCATTGTCACTGCTTGTTGGCTCCTTTCTGCTGAGCTCTACTCACTTACTACAGGTTGGTATGTGGTGACAGACCCTGGGATAGTTGGTTTGCATACTGAGCCAACAGCAGAGGCAAACGGAAACTGGTTACATAAAGTTTTTATTTTTTCATTACACAAATCAATAACTATATATGGTCAACAATTCAGCACATGGTAACATTTAGTTATAAGCTCATAACATTGGTTATTTTAAATAGTGTATGTAGTTTAAGCAAATCATTTTTTTTATTGTTGTATATCTCTAACATTGTAACAGGTTACTTTACAGGATTCAGTGAAGTCACCAAAGTCAGCTCATGCACAGGTAACATTAGTTCAAATCAAGGACAGGGACGATGTAGATCATACAGTCCACAGCCTGCTGTCTCCAGTTCCCAAAAAAACAACGATAATAAAGAATAATAATAATAATTAGTATATGATAATAATAATTAATTGATATTATGTTTTTAAAGAAACGCGAATCTGGAAGAACGTTTCATCGTTAATTAATTTCATCGTTAATTTTATTTGGAATTACAGGACAGCATGCAGTTTAACATTTTGTACAGATCAGTTACTGCAGACTGCATTTGTCACGCCACACCAGTCTTATACATGAATTAAAATGTTTTTGTCCCACCTACCTGTTGGTCCGTGCATTGCAAACGTGACGTCTTCCTATTGCACTAAGTCCCATATGCTCCAGATATGCGCACTTCCTCTCTTTTATCCTTGCGGATCTTTTATCGCGCTCTATTCGTTTCTCGTCTGTTGCTTTAAATTCTGCCATAACCCCTCTCCAGCAACAGAGAAGAAGGTATTTGTGGGTAGACAGCCAGACTTTAAAGTTGTGTGCGCATGTCCCCGCCCCCCTCGCAGCGACGGCCAATGGAAAGTTGCAGCGCCTGTTTGATCCCACATGGAGGCTTCTGTTGTCTGTTGGAGCTGAAGACAGAAGGGATGAAAACCCTTTTTCTCAAAGAGACGCTGAAAACGTGACGTTAAAAACTGGAAAGAAGTGTCAATTTGTCTCCAGAGTTTCCATAAAACTTCATTCAATTTGTGAAATGAGTCAAATTCGGAAATTAATTTGCTAGAATTAGAAATGTACAGTACTTGTCACGAGACTAAGTGTTTGTTCTTTTGCCTAAAAATGAAACACATGCATTGGGTTGTGTGAAAGCTTCTGCTTTCTAAAACGATCACTGCTGGAATAGTTTAGATTGTAGTCAGTGAACACAAGGTGGCAGTGTAGAGCTTCAATCAGCTGCCATCAGGACTCAGAAGATATTATTCCTATTTCATGTGAGAATAAAAACTTCTGAAGTATCCAAGGAGATGACTTTTAAATGGCTTGGTTTTTATTTAAATGTGATTCATTTTGTTCATATAAAGCATAATATAAGTTATGAGCCACATGTAAATATATTTACAAGTGCACATCTTATACCATTTTATTAAGAAGCCTTATGGGAACAGCTCACTATAAGTTATATTTTAAATCTTTGGTTGTTTAAGTCACAGATATGTTTGCTGCAGTATCTCTTCAGTGACTTCAGTATTCACATGGCAAATGTGTCCATTTCTCCTGAGTGATGACAGGAGTGGACCGTGGGGCTGACTGGCCTCTTCAGGACATTTCCCTCTGTCATAGTCCTGTGCACTGAGCAGGGGCACTGGCACCCACATGGTTTCACTGAACAGAGCGTAGTCCACCATGTAGCTCTTCTTGCCCAGTTTCAACATGTCCTGGAAGCGCTCACCCCAGCGGATGTCTGCTGGTGTGTAGGAGGCACGTGTCTGGTGGAGCATACCGGTGGAGTCTCCAGTTTAGGTGAAAGACACCACCAGTTCAAAGTTGTCCTTAAGCAGGCTGTCAGGGCCCAGGCTGTACAGGGGGCTGCTAGGCTCCAGCTTGTGAATAATAGTGGTTGGTGTGGCGAGGACAATGTCTGGGTTTTGGAGCTCCAAGTCCTGGTAGGACATCTCAATAGACCCCAGTGGCCCTTTCACATAGTGGACTAACTGGGCCTTGGTGACCCCCTCCAGGATGTGGTTGCCTCTGAAGTCTCCAAGGCGCCATGACAGACACAGAACTCTGTTTCGCAGGTTGACCACTGCACAGCTGCTAAAACCCACTGTTTGAGCTCTCTTACGAGCAGATGCCATTTTAGCAGCTACAATACCGATGACAATGGTGTCAAGGATGCAGCTAAATAAATCTTGAACTGTCACAACAATAATGGCAACGATGCACTTGTCTGACATCCCCCTGAAGCCATAGCCAATAGTTGACTGGGTCTCCAGTGAGAACAAAAAGGTTCCAGTAAAGCCCCTCGCATTGTGCACACAGGGTTCATTACCTACATTGTCAGCATCTTCATGCACATATGCAATAAGCCAATAAATAAGACCAAAAAAGATCCAAGAGAGGATGTAAGAGAGGGAAAAGATGAGAAGCATCACCCTCCAGCGGATCTCTACAAGAGTGGTGAAGAAATCCATCAGGTACAGGCTCCAGGATCCAGGGGCCTTCTGGAAAACCACCGGAAACCGGCCATCTTTCTGCATGTAGCGAAGCAGTCTGCCCTCACTTCCATTATGCCTACCCAGAGTGTGGACCGTGGTGTAGTATGTATCAATGACAATCTGCTCGTCTCTATCTGTGCTCATTTTGTTCAGGGCTATGTTTCAGTCTCCTGTACAAAAAACAGAGATGACATGAAAAATGCACATTATGACATTTTCAAGCTGAATATCATGATGATGCACCATGGACAGGTGGAACAGCAGGTTACTCATTAGATGTGACTAAAATGTGAAAAAGCTCTCACACAAATTTGTTGAGTAAACCCCTCATGTTTGAGCAGGTGGCTTAGGTCGCCCTGTGCCTCAGGCCTTCAGCTGCAAATGATCTGAGCAGTGCCCAGCTCTGGGTGTGAAAAATGTACTTAAAGAACACGAGCTTCTTACTGGCTGATTATTTACCTGAAGTTCCATTAGAGTCTATCCAAATCAACCGTAGGAAAAGCTCATTTTAATGTCCACATTATAACCAAATGCAGTCATGTGGAGGCCTTTTTCCCCAGTAAAACCTCTTTTTCATGGGATAAGAGCTGTTTAACTTTTCAAATGCTCAGTGTATTCAAGCTTGTGCATAAATTACAGTTGGGACCACTCTTTGTAAAAGAAACAAGCACAGTTTTGGAAACTAAAAGTTCAAATTAATGTCAAATTAATTGCACTGTAAGCTAAGCACATACACAGGCCATAACTATGCAACATATTAAACAGGTCAGTTTAGCTAATTATTTGTATGGGTTGTTTAGGTGATACCATGTTTATCATATTCATATAGAGTAAACGATCGCATGCTTGTTTCAGGTGACTCATTCAGATTCTTATAAGTTGGGTATATTGTCTCGATGGCTAGGCCGTTTTTGAAAGATTTAGTTTGTTATTGCTGTTTTTCTCTTTTTTTGTTTCTTTGTATTAAATTCTGTTTGTGTTGTGTTGAGATTAATATTTAGTTTGTGATGCTGCACAGACCTGTAGAGAGCTTTTCCCCAGGTTTTTCAATACTACAGCCTGTATTGTGTCTTTATTGTGTTATTAAATACATAACCAACATGTTGAAATGAATCATTGTAATTCTAGTTTATTTACTGGACCCATTAATCTTAAAGGTGCAATTTACCCAGTGTTACCCTTCACTGTCCATGTTCCTCCTGGATTTAAGAAAAAACCTTTTGTCTCTTCGAGCCTCTTCAAACCTTACACTGATAAACAAGACTTTCAGTCTGGAACTTGTTCAGGTATTGATCCCAGTCCACAATGGTACATAGTTTTGGCCATGACCATCTGACAAGCTTAACCACAGCTTTGTGTCAGGGGAATCTTCTTTTTCAGATGGGGCAAGAGCCTCTTTCTAATCTTTTTGGCTTATCTCTTCATTTCTGAGTTTTAGCAAAGCCTGTTCCAGATGTGGGAATCAAGAAATCCAGTGGCAGGGAATCAGGAAATAGAGCTCAGCCTTTCGACAACAGTACAGAAATGAAATACTGTACAGTATTGGTGAGGAAAAAAAAACAATACATCATAATTTGTATTAAAATCCATTAAAGATTTGTCTGTTTCTATCCCAAGCAGCTGTGAAACTGTACAGACAAAACTATTTCTAATCACGGTTGTTGTGAAAATGTTTATATACTGTGATCGGTGTCTGTACTCCACCGGTCTTATGTTTCAGTTAATCAAGCAAAACTTTGACCTCAGTGTGGTGCAGTTACTAACCTATTTTTATTATTATGAAGGTAAATTATTATCCCCCAACCACCTCAAATAGCTTCCACCTCCAAATGTGACCGCAAACGTCAAAGTTTAACCACATCACCTTTATTTTTTCAGTAACACATAAAATACACCAAAGTCATGACATTTTTACCAGCTTCTTATTCTGCACTTCAATACTTTGTCACAGCTAAAAAGCAGTCGCATAAACGAACGCACTAAGTGGGTTTTAAAGCTTCATCTTACCACCATAAGTCAGCCCCCCTTGGCCACCTGCCAGCACTTTTATGGTACAGAGTCACAAGGTGAGCAGGGTACATTACAGAAAATGGCTCATATTATAAAAACATGGTCTTATTTTGTATGTATAACAACTTTACTGCTATATGTCTAACATGATTGTTTGTTTCTCTTTCCTTGCTTAATTGCATAGTTTAGCTTTTTCACTTACCATTTTATTTCTGCTAGTTTTATGTCATTTTTAATGGTTTATATGTATTTACCCATTTCATTTATTATTTAAATCCTTCTGTGAGGTGCTGCATGTAAACACACCAGGAGATACAGAAACTCTAATGTGTGCTATGTCAAAGCACATCGAACAAATAACCTTGAGTCTCAGTTCAAAATTGAATGTCATGATTTTTTTTTTTTTTTGCCTCCAGTTAGTATTGAAACACGGTGTTCTTACTGAATATACAGAAAAGATCATTTGAGCCCATGACTAATAAAAAGAGTTTCCTTAAGATGTCATTCATTATAACTTCATGCAACTTTTTTCTGTTCTGATTGGCTTAATTCTGCTAAGATCTATTCTGTAGAATTTATTATTTTAGCTACATTTGTAAATGCTTTGCAAAAAATAAAGTTTGACCTTCGATTCTTACCATGTAGTAGCTAGTACAGTAGCAAAATGTACCATCGAAACAAACTGCTCTCATTTTTTTGTCATCATAGAAATGAAAAGTGCTATTGCTGACATGGTTCTTGTTTATTTCTTTAACTATCACTTTAATAAACATCCAGAGCTGATAAAAAGAAAAGAGTTACAATGTTAAACTTACCGAGCGGATAGAGAGTTTGCCAGGTGTAACATAGGCCCATCGATTCTGCCAGGAATTAGCTGATGTGCTGCTCCAGTTGGAGGTCAGCTGGTTACAAAGTGACGGGGGCTGGCCAGGTCCTGAGGAAAAGGCCTGTTTTGCTATTATCTTACAGCAACCACTTCCCTCTCAAACCTTATTGGACAAACTGGAATATTTTAGAGGTTTCTCAGGTAAAAAGCAACTAATACCCTCTGACTGTGTAAAGTGATGGAATAGAATTTTCCACAAATGGGGAAAAAAAAGCAGTAGGTTGTATTTCAGCTATGTACTGTATATAGAAATGGAGAAAGAGCTAGTTCACTTGGAATTTGTTGGACAATGAAAATGAACCTTTGCTCCATCAGGTGCAGATACAAATCAACCTTGTTCTCTTTTTAATAATAGGACACCATCAACGCTGCCCAACCCCCTACGTGATTTAACGTGTATTGGCTTTTGAAGCTGATGTGTGAAGACAGAGATAAGAAACATTTCTCTGACAGATAAGAGTCACACACAGTAACAAGCAGGATGAGGGGTGAGGATAAGGTGGCAGCATGTGAAACAATAACTTTCCTGATAAGCTGTGGACCAGAGTGTGCTAACCTCAGCTGGGACTGATAATAACTGGGCTGATCAGGCATGAAAAAATGCAAAGTAATCAATATAAAAGACTTAATGGTCCATGATGCAAGATGGATATGGTTATCAACGCATGCATGAAAATCTGAAAATAATTTTAAAATTGTTTTATGCACCTAACTTCATTGGAGACATGGGAACATCTGGTTTAAGCATCTATCTGTCATTTTCCTTGTCTGTTCACCTGATCGCCACCATATTTTAGAAATATCCTCACTCATATAAATTGCATGAATGCATAAAATATGTATAGAGTATATTGTGCAAGCAGTGCAGTTTTAGTTTATGAGCAGATTTTAATTAGCAATCACCTTATAATCTCACGAATGAAATTGTTTGTGCAAATGGCAAAAATGAGAAATGACCCAGCTGTAAAGGGTTGTTTTCCATAGCTGGTCTCTGAGAAGGCACGCAAGTCTTTGTCCTCCATATGATTGGCAGCGCTGTTTCTTTCACCTAATCATCTCCATTATTGCCTGATTCAGCTCACTGGTGTGCTTAAAAGCCATAGTCACATTGTAATGCAAAGCAGCATAGCCAGTCATAAAGAGAAACAGCAGCTGGAGGTACCTGCACCTACTGGCAGGTAAACAGACCAAATCAAGCTGAGCTCTGTTTAATTGATCACGGAAAGGTATTCTTACATATTGTTGTTGGCCAGTCATATTATCTTGTTTCCCCACACAGGATGAGGAGTGTTGTGAATATATGCTTGTTCGTCACAGACAGCTGACCTATTTAAGTGTTATGTCAGGCTGAAAAGATAAAGAAAGGACAGGAGACAGGGAGGGTGACAAACCGACACAGCTGCTGGTCGACGTACAATACAGTTATTAGTCATAACAGAAGATGAATAGTCAGATTCCTGTGATGATGCATTCAAAAAAGTTAAGATTTTTTGCCCACAGTCTGGGGAGGTTTGTGTTCTTACTGGGTTTTCTAACAATAGGTAAGTGTAACTTATCTCACAAAACAATGATTTAAGATGTTGTTGACTATGTGAGTGTTTATGAAAATACTCCGAGCTTCGTTTCACATTTGTCTCCAATTTAAGGATGTAGATCTGATGACTCCACCTGCACAAGTCGCAGATGTCTGGCTGAAATGCTGATAAATAAAAACATTTCATCTCAACCGCAGTACCAAAACTGCAATCATACGATATATGTGCCAGTCATTGAGTACCAAACACTGTCAGTTGTAAGTATTGGCTTTTACATTTTATGAAGGAGGTAACTGAGATCTCTCAGAACTTTTATCATTTCAATTATTAAAATGAATTGTCTTTAATTGTGCATTAATGTTTTGCTTGCTATTAATTTTAACAGAGCACAAAGCAGCTCCTCCTAACAAGTTATATGAAAGCCACACTTGTAAGTTACTTACTTTACTCTTAAATTAACAACAACAACAAAAGTGTTTCAATCACAATAATTTTGATTTCAAACCGCAGATATGGAATGACCCTGAGATGAGTTGGAACACATCAGTTTATAATTATGATGAGGTGGTTCTGCCAGCAGGCAATGTCTGGACCCCAGAGCTCCAAATAGCCAATGGGTAAGTCAGTTACATGACATAAGAGCTTACAGTTATTAGCACTAACTCAATTCATGGATTTCTTGAAATTCTTTTGAAACATCTGATGTGTCTTATGTGTGTAGACTACAAACCTCTATAGAGGACGGCTCTAAGGACCTGCTGGTATACAGTAACGGCACCCTGAGGCACACTGTGTTGGTTACTACGGAGGTGGACTGTGAAGTCAACATGTTCAACTATCCCTTCGCTGATGATAGTTGTCCCGTCGCAGTCGAATCATGGTCCTTTGACGGTAACCTCAGCAATTCAGTTATACAAATATTAATCCAAGGTTTACGGCAAACTGGCTTTTCCTGGCTTATTTTCAGCATTTTGAACATGTGTCAACTCTTATTGTCCTTGGTCATGACAGGTTTTGTGAATTTTAAATTTAGAAAAACTGTCCTATTTATTTTTGCATTGTCATAATATTATTGTGTCATTTAGTGTGAAAGGAGCATAAATACTATGTCCTAAATGCAAAATACCTGATTTCCTTCAGGATGTGGTACACAGCTGGTATTTGGTGATTTGCGGTTGAATGGTGGTTCCCAGGGAGACTGGAAAACTACCAATGTGTCCTTCGAGTCAAAGGGAAATCAACACACATACATCCTGGTAAGTTACCAAACATGAGGAGATAGTCATTTCAGTAATTATTTACCAAATTCCTGCAGATTGGAATATGTCTGATTGAGTTAAAAATAAAACATTTAGTCACTTAATTGTTAAAACAAAAATTTTATCTGCCACTATTTTTCATTTCAGTCATGTTTTGTGCAAAATTACCAAAGTGTGAGCTTTGCACTTTTCTTTGTCACATAGTCATTTATAGACTTACTGTGGTATATTTGCGTGACTCCGTTTCTGGGACACAGCTGCACTGCAGGCCTGTGTTTCACTGTTAGAACATTCATTCTGCTCAGCTAGCATGAAAGTCCAGATCAACCCATTCTGCTCCCCCCAGCGCTCCCTCTCCCTGCTCCACTGTGCTCTACTACAATCTGATACACTCCACCACGCTCTGCCCAGCTCTTCACATATTTGTCATTATGAAATTACAACAAATGAGAATGCAACAAAACTTACTGATCAAGCTGAAATAACTGAAAATCTATGAATGCTTAGAGAGGCCAATCCTGCTCAAAGCCTTTTAGAAACTATTATCTCTGCACTGCTGCCTGTGGGTGTAGGTCACAGGAGGCTTCCACAGCACCTCTCCACATTAAGGCAAGTTTTGGAGCATATTTCTATAAAAATAGTTGAAAGCAAGTTACATACTGTAGCCTTAACCAACAATACCTTACTCTTTGTTGTTGTTTTTTATAAACATATGCTGTATACAATATGCTGGTCATTGTTAGTCAAGACAGATGCTATTGGACATGCTGTAAATAAAGTTGTAAAATAAAGACAACATTCAGGTTTTACACTTAAGTTGCCACCAGTTTGCATAAGACAGAAGTAGAAAATTTTGTATGCCATTGTATTCCAAAGTGTGGCCCGCGACCCCTGGTGGGCTGTAACGCTACTGCAGGTGGTCCGTCAGAGGTCATTATACAATATATGACTAAAAAGTGTATTTAACTTTCAATTTTGCGATTAAACTTGAAATGTCCATAAAATATTTCTGATTAAATGCATACATTTTAAAAAGAACGAAACAAAGAAACTGTTCTGTTTATGTAATAAAAATACAGTATCACGTGTTGATCAGACTTGTGTTTAAAGTTTTGGGTGGGACACAAAAAAAATTTCAGATTTCAGACTGGGCTGCAGCAAAAAGGAAATCCTTCTACAACCATGAAAATGTGTGATCCATACTCCTCAGGTGTCACTTAGCCTGAAATATGGCAACCCCTTCATCACATTACTGCTGCCCAGTTTTCTTCTCGTCCTGGCTGACATGGTCAGCTTTGCCCTGCCAGTGGGAGGCGGCGAACGCAACGGTTTTAAAGTCACTCTGGTGCTCAGCTTCACCATGTTCCTTGGCATCCTCAATGATGAGCTCCCAGGAGACTCCCAGTGCAGCCCGGTCATCCGTCAGTCAGCTCGCATGCATGTCATGAAACATACAAACATACTCAAAAGGCACAACAAAATACACTGTACGAGCACCATCACATTGTGAGTCACTAACCATTGGTTTGTGCTGCAGGAATCCACTTCTGTGTTTCTCTGGTGATCTTAGTGGTGAGCATGCTGGAGTCTTTGGTGCTAACACGGATGTCCAAAGAAGGCCGCACTACTTTTTTCTCCTGGCCTATGGCCCATATCACAAGACACAAGGAAAAGAAAAAGGATGAAGGTGAGGAAGACATCATTGTTTAACATGCTGAAAACACAGGCTTGATTTTTAATAAACAAAAAAAAAAGGTATTTTAATGGCTACAGAAATCAAAGCTGACATCAGTGTTATCAAGCTGGATGGTCCAGAGGAGATCAAGCAATTGCTCAAAAAGGTGGTCAGCATCCTGGAAGTATCCCAGAGCAAGAAACTGGAACAGAAGGCACAAGAGATGTTTGTCGACATAGTGGACAAGGTCTTCTTTGGTTTCTATTTCACTTTTAGCTTTGTGTACATCTGTGTCATGACTTGTGTGATGGTGTGGTATAAATGTGAGACCGATCATTTTAGGTTTTTGTCTGAAAAAGACTGAACTCCATGTTATTGAATTTAAAACAGCTAAACTGTGCTAAATAAAAATACTTATATTTTAATATTTAATATTAGATTAATACAAAGATGGATGAAAATCTTAGCATACACATTTTTTTTACATGTATTTAATGTCACATTCACTATGTCACACTATGGTTTGTACTTGTAATTCATTTCTGAAACTCAAAGAAATGTAAAAAATTCTTTCACTTCCATTATGTCACATGATGTATATAGTGTATGAAACTTTATTAAACTATTATATGTACAACTTGGACATTTGCATACAAAGCAAAACCATATTCCTTCAACAAAAAATTAAAGGTGAAGACAAATGAAGCCATGTTCCTTTGCTGCCACCTAGTGGTCTAAATCATTCTCTGCAGGCAGGTTGGTGACCTACCGCACTCCTTTATCTTCACTTAATGAGTTTCTGCACTCTGACTATTCCGACGTGGACCTGATGAAATTGCACGACTTCAGCTTGAGTTCATTACTTCACACATTGTTCACGTTCACAAAAACAAAGCACAACAAAATAAATACATAAAATAATGAAAAGAGGAGCAGTCTAATGTTAAATTAAACTGCTAATTTAATTTAGCCAGTGTGCCTGAAGCAATCAGCAGGGGAGTTACAGATGAATTAGCCTATAATGTTTTTTTAATACCCAGCAGAAAAACACTTTGTTATAATGTTCTTATTTAAAATTAATAAAGTACTATCTATCACTCCTCTCTCTCTCTCTCATTTACTATGGGCCCATAGGATGATTGAGAGTTGTGCTCATAAATCATGATATAACTTTATTGTCCTATTTGTAAAACATGACAATTTCCCAGAGAAGCTCTGGATGAATGACCTGTTTTAATATAAAAAAACACTCTGAAGCAGCACTTTTCAATTTAAAAGTCCTAAACTTGCAATTCCCCCTACAATATCCTACTATTATTTATAACAATTTATTTTACTAAATAAAGTTTGATTAAAAGACATAAAGCAGTAGTATAACTGTCCACAACCCTGGTTTGATTAGCAGCCACAGTGAGGTAACAACTCTATACTGTATATGCACAGTATTTTTAACAAAATGTCCTTTTCATAAGAGCACACAGCACAAGATGATGCCTGAAGGGCTGAGCTGGTGGCTCAAACCAAGCCAACTGGAATGATTTCTGCTGGAAGTTGAGCACATTTAAACCTTTGTCATAAATTTAGAGCACTGTGTTGACCCAAATCACCTTCAGAAAACGAGCATTTTCACATTAACTTCTTAACTCTTGGCAATACACTGTATAACGTAGCCCATTAGGGGCTGTGACAGTCTGGTAGTGAACTCAGTTTACACGCAAGAGTTAGACAATTTACATTTCACAGTTACCTTGAAAAACTCCCAAGTATAATGCACAGATGCAGTTACCTGCACTGCTGGAACAACTGTATGAAATTTAATCTCAGAAAATATATTGCATTTTTACTTGAAGATGCAGAAAAACTTAACACATACAAAATCAGTTTTACCAAACTCTTAAGAGAAATAACAAAAATCCCTACACCTTCAGAGAAGACCAGGCGCCTTTACAACAGGAATTTAGTAAATATGATGTAGGTATCCCACTGCCGATGGTCATCGCTCATTCTCTTTTTCAGCGGTCTGTTTTCTTCATTGCCTTTAGTAAAAATATTAAAAATGGAAATGTTAATGCATGACATCATTAAAACCAAAATGTAAGGAGGAACATATGATTTCTTTTCAGATACCTGTTTAAAGATCTGGAAACCAAGGTAGTTCTTTGCCATGTTTCTCAGGTTGGTATTCCCACCCACCTTGCATCTGACATAACCATACAAGTTGGCCCATTGCAAAACCAAGCCCATTATTACCACAGCCTGTGGGGGCAAAATCACAAACAGCAATGAGGCATACACCAAAAATTAGCAGCTATTTAGATGGACACAAGTGAAACTAACATTCAGAGTCAGAAACTGGACTGACCAGCCATTTAATCTTGAATGAAAAGATGGTGCTGAACACAAAGATGATCCAGAAGATGGGGCAAACAACAAGTCCAAGCCAGAAGATCCGTGATTCAGCACTGGATGTAACTGATGGGCTTCTGCTTGCCTTCCTTGACTCAAACACCCAGTGGTTCTTTCCATTGTTGTCCACTTGATTCCACCACCGAAGGCCCACTAACAATCTGCCAGATACGTTCTAAAAATCAAAGACAAATCCATCCACAAATGAAAACCTGGTAAACCTGGTATGTACTTAGATTTCATTTATTCACAAACAATGTATACATTGTGAACTTGTTCAAATACTCAGAAAAATGGGGGGCACAAAAAAAAAAAAAAACAGAAACCCAAAACAAAGAACACAAAATTCATTCAATCAGAGACATTGATATGCAAAAACAAAAATGACAGAATAAAATGATTACCCAATTGATTGAATATTTATAATCGAACATAAAATTAACTGCCTAATAACAACAATAATATTAATAATGAAAAAATACAAAACATTCATTTCTAAATGTTCATTATGAGATGGTGCTGAAACTGAGTACAGCTGGGACTGTTGGTCTGACAATTAATCTGAATACAGAACCTTAGCCTTTAGAAAATTATAATGGAAAAAGCCTATTTTATAAACTAAATTATTATTCATAAATAATTTGCAGATTAATATTTAATTTAAAAAAATAGCTATCCCTACATGTAACATAGACAAGGTGTGGGTAAATGACTAAAACTTGATGATTTATTTCCATAGTGGTCCTGTGTTCGACACACATGCTCACCTTGACAGTCCAGAAGTCACATGACAGCAGGAGAATAATGGTGACCATACACACAATGAAACGACTGCTGAAGATGTCACACAGTAAGTAGACCAAGATGGCACTTGTTCGGAAGAAGAGATGGAAGAATGTGGCCAGAGGATGCCTGAAACACCAATTATCACTTTATTCTTTATGATTAAAACGATACATTTGATCACGATACATTACAGTTAGCTGGCATAAAAAGGTATAAACACAAAAATAGCACATCTCACCTAATATTAGGCTTTTTTTGCCTGATATTATCATTATCTTCACCAAAAAGTGGAGCGTCTTGGGAGTCCTGAAAACATACGATTAACGCGGGTTCACGGATTAGTGTTTATAAATTACATCTAAAATTTCGGGCATGTTTGTGCATGAAGTATCGATTAAAACGTGTCGTAAACAAATACGCTTTTTGAAATGATCACAAATTTTGATTTAGGACTGATTACCTCTCTCAGCATTTTCATTTTGACACTTCGAGTTGTATTTCCTGGTGACGTGGTTGTAAACAAACGGGTGTGGTAAGGACCCCGAGACGTGTGCCTTTAAATCTGCCTGAGTAAAAAGTAAGGCTTTACCATATCCGGCCAAAAAATAATTGTCGCTTTTGATTATTGTCATGTTAGAGTATTACGATTTGTGAGTTATCTCAGATGTTTTGATTACGGGTTTGTTTACTAAGTTTTCTGAATTGACAGCATATGTAAATAATCTAAATGTTAATTAGAGTTACAATTATTAATTGGCTGGTTCTTTTCTTCATAAATATGCACTCTTTTCAAAAAATGAAACATGTCCATTTCAATTTCTTAAAACCTGAGGTGATATCTTATTTGTTTTTTTGTTTGTTTGTTTGTTTTCAAACAAAAATTAAGTATATTTAGTTTATAATAGCCAGATAAAGTCTAAACATAGGCTAAAGGGTGAAACAGGTTTTTGGTGTTTTTGCTTGAAAAATAACCTAATAAATAAATAGTCAAAATAGTTGCCCTTTAATGTTTGTATTTGTGAACTACTTAATCAGTTGACTAATTGTTTAGCCTGAGAATAAATAAATAAAAGTCATAATCATCATTAGGGGCACAATAAAGCATTTATCTCTTGCCTTTATTTTGTGCATACAGAACCAGAATCATAAAAGTCATATAAAATCAGCTTTATATTTTTGCACTTCTGAAAATAACATTTTTAATACATTATTCATTCATTCATTCATTCATTCATTTTCTACTGCTTAATCCCTGAACGGGGTCACGGGAGGGGCCGGAGCCAATCCCGGCCGGCAATCGGGTGAAGGCGGGGTACACCCTGGACAGGTCGCCAATCCATCGCAGGGCTAATACATTAATACATTTAATACATTAACATTTTCAAATATACAGGTTCTAACATAAGAAGGGACATTAAAGTAACAATGTTTGTTGGTCAATATCTACTTCAAAAACAGAGAAATATAATTACAGTTTATACAAAACAGCTTTATAATGTCAAACTGTTTGGTCCTCCAGCAGTGTTATGAGATCAGAAGAACCTCAAACAGACTGGCAACAGAGTGCATGCGGTAAAAGATAGCAAAAGGAAGGCCAATATTGACAATAGCAGACCACATGTTGAATTTGTAAAATTTAATTTCAGCATCGTAGTCAAACTGGGGACGAGCACCAAATGCTGGCATGATCCACAGCTGTCAAAGAAAGACATGAGAGAACTGTTTGAGTATTTTGTGAATTTTCATACAGGGACTGAGGGCGTGAGGGAGAATGGTACTCACTATGACGTTGCCCAGCAGCAGAAATGCGCAGATCTCCTTCAACACCCGTCTCTTCCACATCAGTTTGGTTTCAGATGTGTGACCAGGCAGGTTGTGTGCAGTGAGTACTGGGCTGGGATTTGTGTCCATGTCTGATGCTTCAAGGCTGCTCAGGTCTTTTTCTGGATGTAGTATGTATGGATTTGCAATCACAGTGACCGGGACCACCTCATGGAAGGGCTCTCGATGCAAACCTTCAATAATGAAATAGTTCTGCAAGGCTATCTGAACCACCTTCAGGATACCCCAGGTCAGGTTGAGTCCATTTAGGTAATTATTGACTCCAATTGCAACCATTGCTACAATGGAGAAATAGCTAATGATGAACTGTCCCAGTGAGGATCCCACCAGCAGCCCCACATCCAGGTTGCGAGTGGGGTTCTTCTCTGATACATGCTCCCTGTGGTCCACCTTGTACATAGCACAGCCAATCACAGTGGCAACAATCATGAGGAGCAGTATGACTATATTCATGATGAAGTGCATCATCAACACAATGGCTTTCTTATGATCATTAATGTTGCTTCTCATTTCCGTCTCATATACAACGAAGGTTGCCAGACCTGCCACCACTAAGAGAATCCCCACCGCAGGGCCAAGCAATACATGTTTGAGACGGAATTTGAGTTTGTGGTGGGTGTGTAGATCTGATACTCGGCCAACGTTTTTCCACATGACATAGGCCATAGCAGAGGCAAAGAGGCTGTACTCGATATTGAAGGGGTACAGGTAGTAATATGCGTCCTTGAAGATGCCACATGAGGTGTGGCTGCAGTTGCATTGATCTTGTCCATAACTCGCTATAAGACATGACAGACAACAAAAAGAGGGAAGAGTTATGTTGTTTCTATTTTATTGATTTGTGTATCTTTGATTGCTTGATCTGCTTTAATTACCTCTACTGTTGTACAGGCTTCGGCCAGAGAGTTTAGTGGTGTTGCCCTCATAGTTGGGAGTACTTGTTTGGTGAAGGGACTCCTCAGTAACTGCAGTCATCCACACAACTAGATTTGCGGAGAGGGTGAACATCAGCCCACAGCTGAATAAAAAACGAGAAGGAAGCAAAAAAGAAACATTCATCAGACAATAAGAGTGGCCAAAACACTTGGTTTGCTTTATCAGGTAGTGACCTGTAAATGTCACATTTGAATGTCAGTGTGCTCAGTGTGCAACATTTAAAACCAGCAGCCACCAAGTAAAAAAAATCACAATACTCTGACATTTTATCAACCAAATCATGAATCAGTTAATTGAGAAAATACTGAACATGTACAAATATTGAAAATATGTTCAGCTCTATTGCATCTTACTGTAATTTCAATGTCTGCAAAACAGGACAGTGAAAGTCATAAGTGTTGTGGCATCAACTTTCATATAGTAATGCTCAACTGGTCTGGTTACTCTCAGTTTCTTGGACAGCAAATGCAGCAGATATTATTACAAAAGCAGTTAGTGATGAAAAACAGAAATAAAATCTATGAATCACCTACCGTGTAAGGTTCTTTTGTACCTGCACACAGTCCTTGGCATGAGACCACAAAAAGTATGTCTGTGAAATGATTTTATAATTATCTTAATATTTTATAATCATAAAGAGTTTATATATGTATGTCCTTATGATAAGCTGAAATTTTTACCTGTGCAAGTATAAAAACAAGTTGCACCACAGGGAAAACAACTTTAACAGCCGAATCGCAGTGGAGGTAGCCCACATAGCTGGCTATCTTAAAAATGTCCATGATAATGGTGAACAATCCAAATAGCACAAGTCCTCCTGAAAGAAAAGAACATGTATAACAGGGGATTTTTGAAAAAATCTAAACTGGTCTGTATATATATAAACAGCTAAATAATGACTTACCCCTGAGCCATATCGGTCCAGCGTGGCCATCCTTGTAAACAACAGCATTGTCTTTCCTGGCTATGTAGACAACATAACAGATCACCCAGATGGAAGTGAGGAGTAGTAGGATGATAAGAAAAACTTGCAGGTCAGTAGTTGTGATTTCTACATAGTTGTGGGCACTGCCACTGACCAAGGCGCTGCCCAGCATCAGAACGTTTAAACAAATGACCCCAGACAGCATCCATCCCCAGTTTTGGTCCTGCTTGCTCGTGATTCCATTAGAGATGTTCAGGTCGGGTTGATGTGTGCTCCCTGCTGGACCCGGCACCTCAGTTTTGCTGGGTAGGTCCTCTACCTTCTCGTTTTTGGCTGTCATGCTGCCTGGTGCACAGAGATCTTCATCAGTCACACAGTTACATGAACAAGCAGTGCCAAAACACATGATTTCTCTCCCTGAAATCTACTTGTAAATGAATTGTTTGTTGTTTGCATCTGGTTCTGTCTCAGATTATATTTAAGAGCTATACCCACTCACTGGCTCCCTTTAAAGACAGATCCCGCCCAGAAAAACCTCCCCATCGGCGCAAAATCAACATCATTGTCAACCTATTGGTGCTACACAAAAGAGCAGTTTTAGATCAACAGATAGGATCTAATTTTGGCAACCAATGCATGTTAACAAGGCTGCATTGATAAGATTCTGCAATCACGTTTGCATGGATTATGTGTGGTATTTCATCTACACCATCCCACCGCACCTCTGATAAAATGAGCAATAGCATTGAATAAGCTGTAAAATAATGTAAAAATAGCTCTTATCAAGCTTTACTAACCTTCTAAAAGTGGAGAAAAAGTAGTAGGATATTTGTACACCTACCTGATGTTGCGTGATTGTGATGAGCAGCCTGAGCTGTCCTGGCTTTTATATGCCTCCAACAACACTACGGTGTACTGTACAAAGCATCATAAATGTCAATAAACAATGTTATATTATTACCAGACACATCGTATTTTGCACAAATTACTCACTGAAAGGTCAAAAGATCTTTCCAGGAAATGTGTTTTCTCATTAATACAAGATAACAGTTTCTTTTCAGATATATGAATTTTCAGTTTTTTGCATGTTGTACTCCTACATTGTAATGCCAACCATTTAAACAAAGTTAGGAAACACTAAACTGCATGTTAATTATCAGGACAAACTATCTGCATTTTCTCAATAGGCATAACATGCATTACTCACCTCAATTTTTGATTCTGTGCTTAAAAAAAGAGTATGTTCTGTTTGTTTTAATGCTATTTGTGGCTCAGTGAAGCGACCCTCTAAATCTTATCTATCCCAATGAGGTGTAGTATATGCTGTCTATTTGGGCAACTCTACTTACTTTAGATTAGCCTTGTCACCTGAAACGAGAGGGACTTTTTCATTGCACAATCCTATCATTAACTCCTTCTTTCATCACTCAGGATTTCCAAAGAAATGTGCATGCAGACAAACATTTAAAGTGGGAACAATGGTTTACTGAAACCAGAGTAACTCTGACTCTTACCAATGCGTCATTCACAATGAGCTATCGCTAGTAATACTTTTACAGTACATTCTCAAATGTCTCACTCCTCATTTCCTGAATAAGTTAACATTACAACTTCAGTGTGCTTACCGTAAATGATTAGGTCTATATGTAGATATTTATTCCTGCTTGGTGAATGACTTTACAAAAATAAATGAAAGTTTTAAGATGCTTTAAGATTTAAAGGTGCAGTGTGTGTGATGTAGTGACATCTGAGGGTAAGGTTAAAGATTGCAGTGTTCAGCAAACCCCTCACGCACCATGCTAAACAGCCCTCACAGTGATTACCATAAATGAAAGATAAATTGTGCACTTGGAAATCAAATGCAGATGACTTGACCGAGCAAAAGCTCACTTGACTGCAGTGGGTCACCCAGTACCGGCCATGTTCAAGCTAAAGCTATCAAACAAAAACTTGCATTTAGATTAACTTTTCTCGTTAGGCTAAATTGCATGTCCAGCAGAAAACAAGCAGCTTTTGCGTCATTCTGGAACTATTTGTCCTTCATCAAGGATTTCCATCTGGGAAATGCCACACCTATATTTATCCTTGTCATGCAATGTCGTCTATCCCGCTTCTTCGTGTAACCGTTTCTGTGATGAAAGGGATTCATGTCGTTTTCCTTTTTCTTGTGTTAAAGTTTAACTATGATCCTCCATTTCTTCAAATTATAGTTCTTAAACTCACGACAAGGCTTTGTCTTGTTTTTAACGTTACTTCTTTGCCTTCCAAGCATTTCCAAATCATCACTCCAAATTGAAGCTGCTACATAAATGTGAAATTCACACTCTAGAGCTAATGTCGTTTGTCTGTTCTGGGCCACTGTAAGAAACATTGCAGCTCAACAAGGCAGCCTCTGTGATAGGAGACCAGCTCCTTGTAGAGATAAAAGATTCATTCTAAGCTAAAGCAAATGCTATGTTTTTTTTTTCTGGATTTCACATGAATGAAAACACAATTATGCATACTATAGCCTATTTCTGCAAATAAAACCTTCTAGATCTTGCACGCTGCACCTTTAATAACATGAAGATGATAGTGTTGTGTTTTGGTTGAAACTATTTTAGAGGTGATGACTCAGCTTTGTGATTATTTTGAAGGGTGTGCTGCTTTTAAATTGTATTGTGTTATACAAAGGTTATACAAAGGATGCTGACTGATATAAATGGGGAGGACAAAATAATAAAAAAACAGTATAAGGCAGTTTAACACAATACAATTGAATTCAGCAGTTAGTAAAGTAAAAACTGAGCACTATAACCTTCACCCAAGATATGATTTTTTGCAGGACTATTGCATTACACAGTCTTCTTAGAATAAAACAGGCAACTGGATCTATATCAGTATAGGGGCTATAGGATGATGTCTTTTTCAAATGATTACTGAGAGGCCTAGACACAAATATGAATAGTCCAGTAAAGTCAACTTCGCACTCCTTTAGTCCCAATAGAAAATTTCTATAAATAAAAACATCTGTGGCTACATTCATTCCGAGGTACCCCACGTCTATTTACCCTTAGAGAGTCTGTTTTGAGTGGAAGTTTGGACTAGCAGCTTCAGACAACCAAAGGCTTTGGACCACCTCTGCCACCGGGAGCACTGTTACCCACGCTGTGCGCATCATAGCGTCCCTGGTTACCGGCGACGCGCTCCGCCTGTCGCTCCAACACCGACCAGGAGCGACTAGGGGACCGGTGGAGCAACCTGGCATCCTAGCCGGTCTGTTCGCACTGCATCGCCACATGACCAGGACGAGGATGGTGGTAGTGTTGTTGAAACGGAGTGGAGTCGAGCAGGGTGGACTGATTGTGCACTATGAATGACAAGTACCACAAGGCGGCCCGGGATGGCTACCTGGACCTGCTGAAGGAGGCCACTCGGAAGGATCTCAATGCACCGGATGAAGATGGCATGACACCGACTTTATGGGCTGCTTATCATGGCAACCTGGAGGCTCTGCGGCTCATCGTGGGGAGGGGGTGGGTAAAAGTTTATGACCTAAGACAATGTGTGCGCAATACATACTGTAGAATGCAACACAACTCAGACATGTCCAGCTTCAGTCATTTATAGAGAAAATTCTTTAGCAAAAGTGAACAATCTTACAATTTTCCTTATTATTCCAAATGTTTAGCTTATGCAGAACATGGCAAAATACCTTAATTCAACTACTGCATACAAATTTGTCATAAAATAAACTTAGACAATAATGAATAAAATATATTTCAATAATCAGACTAGTTAAATTGTTTGTTTTTTTGCAGCTGAACCCTTAGAAATTCGTCTTAATAGAGCAACAGTACATTGTAAGGTCAACTTCTACAGTGTCCAGCAATGATTTATTTGAGTTTAACATAGTCTAGGGAAACGCTCTGGCCCACTACCAACACAGTAACCTCACTCTTTGCTCCTGTCTAAAGCTAGCACCTTTAGACAAATAACACATTTGTGTGTTTCTTAATGATTTAGTTCTACTATAATGTCTCAAAATGTCCAAATTGGGCTAGACACCACATTTAAAGATGACATGTATTTTTGCAAAAGCTGCAACAAAAAATAAATAGGCTTTTATCTGTGGTGTGGAACAGGGTTTTATTTGCATCATAATATATTAGAATCTTAGAATGACATGAAGTTTAGTGTTCTAAATTCATAGTTAAACTTTTAGTTAGTTAAATATTCACTGTGTTTTTATAACACTGAAAGTGAGGTTATGGTGATGCCAGTTTAACCAGTACACCAGTTATTACCAATGCTTCATAATAAAAGAGTTTGTCATTTTCAAAGTTGCCTACTGAGTTTGTAAAACTGAACACCTCCATGCTAAGTGACACTGTTCGGGGTCAGCTGATTAGTTCACCCGATGCTCTGCTTTTGGACACTGAGTATTTACAAAATCATAACCTGTTGTGTAAATTAGAGCATTTGATAGTCATTATACTGTATACTACCTAATTTCAAACCATCATATGACTCTGTACACTGGTGTTTGATGTTTACGTTTTATTAAATTAAACCTTTTTACATCACTTTAGACTGATATTTACCAGAAGAACCAGATTAATCTTTGTTATATAGTGACAATGAATACATGGTACTATTTGCAGTGGAGAAAATCAGCTAATCGGTAAAGACACGCTGGTCTTCATCAGCAAAATGAGGAAATAGTCAACATTCAGCATCTTTTCTGGCTGACCTGGTTTGCTTTCCAGCCAGAAAATTGGGCCTATTATGCTTTCACTTTGTTGAGTAAAGTTTGTGAGAGAATTGCCATAAGTTCCTTTAAAAGTGAGACGTCATTCATAAATGTTTACTGAATGAAAAATATCAGAACTGAGAAAAGAAAAAACATTTTTTTCTTAAAACACACCAGCAGCAAACCAAGGCTTTCAGTGCTACATGATTATAATAAATTCACTATTTCCCATGGAAGGCTCTGGAGGTATTCAGATGGCAGGTACACACAGTAGCATTCCTCTACTGATAGCAGAAAACATAATCTTCTGATTGACATGAGGTAGATACTAAAATTAAACATTAATAGCTGCCATAATGTTTCACTGTGGCACCAAAGTCGTGAGACCCAGGGATATAATGAAGAGAAGTTTAATGCTGCTCGGCAGTGTCATGGGAAAGATGCAATACTGTGCTATATTTGGCAAGTATATTGCATTGGGCAACCTGCAGTAACATGAAGCTGTCAGAGGATTTGAAGACACAAACAGCCCATAATATGATAAAGAACAGGGGAGGGATTGGTATTCAGACTTATCACCACTGTGGTCAGCATTTTACCAGAACAGACATAAATTATAACACATAAAGCTATCATATTAGATGGTGCCAGCCGTTAACAAGCACATTATATAATCTGAATTTAGATGGTGAATAGCTAATTACTGATTATTTTTTTCCCATCAGTTTATGGCTTTTTATGTCCCTTCATCTGTTCCAGCACAGAGTTTAAAGTGTAATTCCATTGTTTGTTCATC